CCGGATCGGGGGCGGTCTGCGGGGGGGACCGCCCCTCGTTCTCCGTCAGTCAGCGGGCGCAGCGGGGCAGTGGCGGCGCGGATTGGCGGGCGTAGAGGAGGTAGGGGCGGGGGCAGTGCTGGAGGCGGGCTGGGCGCCGAAGAGGCATTGGAGCAGTGCGTGCGGTTGAGGGGAGTGCGGTCCGGGTGTGCGGAGGGGTGGGCGCTGGGCTGAGAGCTACGCGGAGAACCCGGCGGTTGGAGGGAGACGGTGCTGCCGCTGCAGCAGCGGTTGCTGCAGCTGCCGCCGGCGCCGCTACTGCTGCTGCCGCCGCTACTGAGGTAAAGCGAACGCCGCCGTCTCATCTGGCGCTGCCCCGCGGGCGGCTGCCGGGGCAAGGGAGTACGGCAGGGCGCTGCTGAGCCGTGCGGCCGCCCTGGACGCAGGCACCGGTCGCCCTTGTGTGCTAACAGAAGGAGCGGCAGCACTGCCTTCCCGTGCAACTTTTTCCCCCGTCCGGGGCCAGCAGTGGCGCCGCCGAGCCCTCCGGCGCGGCAGGCCCAGGCGAGCCGCTCCACTGCGGCCGAGGACGAGCCCCGGGGGTGGCGGAGCTTCTCTCTCCGCGGACGGGGGCGGCCCGGCCCGGCGCTTCCTGGTCGGGCTGGGCAGGCGGCGCGCGGTGCCGGCGGCGAGGTACAGAGGCCGTGGGGCTGCTCGAGTGCCCCGGCCACACCGTGAGGCATGGAGAGCCGGCCCGGTGCTCCCGCCCGACTGGCGTTCCCCGAGGAGGCGGAAGGGGTATCCGTAGGAAGCGCTGGGGCGACTGTCGCCGAGGGGGGATGCGGACTACGCGGCGTCGAGCCTGCGTGCCCTCCGGACTCTGCTGAGGGCAGTCCCGGCGGCGCCGCCACCGTCCCTGGGTGGGGGAGCGCCGTCTCCGTGCAGCTCTGTCCTGGCCGTGAGGAGTCTGCGCCCCCGAACCGGGGCCGGGGTGCGGGTATCGACCGCCGGCCCCTGGAAAGCAGCCGCTCTGCGGGGAGGACTGGTGCACGGGAGCGTGTTGGTGCAGGGCTCCAGAGGAGTTAACTTGCCGGCCTCTTAACAGGAGTTAACCTCAGTTCGTACTGCTTTCCTGGTGTTTTTTTTTTCCTTTTTTTTTTTTTTTTTGTTGTTGCTTGTTTTAAATTATAACTATTTTAATGACTTTCTGAAATGATCTTGATGCTGCCTTGCGGCCTTCCATAGCTTTGCAGCCAATATAGAGTCTTTGAGATGTTTCAGAATAGGATGTGTTTTACAGTGCTCACAGTGCAGTTAGTATACTTGTGTTGTATGTTGAGACAAGTTCTCCGAATCAATGTATTTGAACGTGGTCAGCAGTAGAATCTCCATAAGCTCAAAATCGCTCTTTTCAAAGACTGGAAGTATTATAGAGGTATTATAAGTGTTTATCTCCTTTTTCACGATGTATCATGGACTTCTCTTTATTGCAGAAAGTCATTTCCGATGTGGTACTTGCCTTGGTCATCTCCATTTGGAGAGCGGCAGCATCCTACTTAAGCGATAATGCAGCCTGAGTTACAGGTGTGTAGACACCTAGTGGGGAGAAGAGTCAGTATCCGAGCAAATTCCCCACTTAACGCTGCAATTTTTGTTACTTCAGTGCCTCCCTAAGTATGGTTGTCTGCTCTTCTATTGACAAAGATCATAATCGCAATGGAAGGAAAGTGGTGTTAGGCACTGTTTCCTTAGGGATTTTTGGAGTAAACGTGAGAGAGATGGCAGTATAAGGAGATACAGTTGTTAAACATGTTAATATAAAGGTGTAGAAAATGTTTGCTGCTTTGTATAGGGGAGCCATGGCAGTGACGTGCACATACCCCTCTGGTTGGGCTGGTAGTATTGTATATTTGTGGAGCAGAAGTTTTTATTCTCGGTCACCAAAGGAATGCTAGCTAGTGTGGGAGGAAATGCTTGGGTACCAGTGAAGTAGGAGCCAGTCATCATTTTTAATAGGGGGATAAGTAAGGAATGGAAGGAAAGCTTTCATGTCCCCTTCCTTTCCCATTTAAATTTACAAACATCTCTTGCATCTGTTGAATTTTAAATTTTAGAACTGTTTAAATGCCCAACAGAAACCATTCTGCTGAGAGACCAGAATTCTGCCTGAACTCAGGAATCTTTCGTTGGGATCAAGCTCCTAGATAGTAAACAAAAAACAAATGAGCATTTAATTCTCTTGCAATACTTCTTCCTTCTTTTCCATTGCACCAGCCAAATAGAAATCCAGTAATACATCATCTCAAATACAGCAATGTTTCTTGCCTAAAGTGTTTGGTTTGTTTTTTTCCCTGTACTTAAGATGGCCTCTGAGCTAAGCCTAGGCATCTTAAGTGAATTTGAGTGAAAATATGTGAGGGTAGAGACCATGTATCTTCACTTGGAGTTAAGGGAATTTGTTTATACAGGGTCTTAACAGAGCAGTAAGTAAAGAACTGTCAAAGAGACTCCTTTGGAGATGCTGCATTGCTACCAGGCTGAGGTGGGGAAATGGTGTCTGTCTCTGCATTAGGCCTCTCTTTGAGGCTGGAGTCCAAGTCTTCCTCCATCTCCAAACCCTTCAGATAGTGACAGTAGAAAAAGGCATAAATCAAAGAAATTCAGCATGGTTCACCCACAGGGGTGTCTCCAGGTACATGAACCATAGATTAGGCAGGAGGTAGGATGCTGACGGCCTTCTACTGAGGGCAGTGCTGAGAAGTGAGTTTGAGCCAGTACTACAGCTCTGAGCCCCAGAGAAACTGGATTTAGGGAAACTTTGCTGCTGCAACTGCATTGATTTATTCTAACATGCAAAGAAGTTGGACCTTTTGTCCTATCTGATTCAGGTTTTGAGTTTTTAAAAGACACTAAAAAATTGTCAGACACAGTTTTTGTGTTGCTGTAACTTTTCCAGTTCTGTATTGTCAGCCCAAGCATAAGAGACACAAGTACTTATTTTAAACATCTGGCCATAAAGTTGCTATGATACATTTGATAATAAAAGATCAGAGGAGTAGGTCAAGTCAGTTAAATTATGCACTGTTTAGAAGACTAGCTTCACTGACTGCCAAAATGCCCGTAGGCAGTAGGAGTGAAATAAGTAATTGTAGCAGAGCACTTGTCAAACCTTCTTTAAAAAGAAAATAAATATTTCCGAATATTTAATGTAGTCAAAATGGTAATTTTCTATCAGGTTTTGCTGTGCATAGTTGGTTTTGATTGGAAACATTTAGATTAGCTCCAAAACCTAGCTCTAAGGTGTGTAAGTGTATTTGTTCCTTTGCTATATGAAATGGGAGGAGCCCATGCTTTTGAAAAGGCTTCTGTGCTATTTAATTGATACTTGTGCTTTAGATTTTTTCCTCTTCCCTCCCCCCCCCCCCTTAGTTCTTGTCTGTACACTTTCCACTGGTAGAAGAGGCAGATGAAATATAAGCAAAACTCTTTGCATTAAATGCAAAGTCTGTGATGTTTTGTAGTGTGAACTAAGCAGCATAATTTGGTTTTTCAGAAGTGGCTGCAGAAATTTCTCATTAAAATTTTGGTGGGAGCTGGATGCTTAATCCACGTGGATAGATGTTCAACTTATTAAAATAAATGCTTGTGTGTAGGCTTTTTGAAATGAGAAGTCTAATCTAATTCAAGCCCAGGTAATTCTTTCCTACAGCAAAAAATGGTTGTAAGGGATGATAAGCAAGTTCTTCAAGAACTTTCTAAGATTTTCTTCTGTGTTCTGTTACAAGAGATGTTGTGCAATAGACCACAGGTACTCAGGGACTGAAGAGGAGCCACATACAAATTTGGCATAAGGGTTATTCACTGGCAAAGGAAGTCCATATGCATTCTTATAAACACTTTTTAGCTTGTCAGTTAGTCATGTTCCAGGGACTTGATGTCTGAGACATTAGAGAGAATGGTGTGGAAAAGAGTTGTCAGTGGTTCCCTGTTCCAGCCCTATCTACTGGTGTCCCTTTGCAATGTAAAAGAGAGTGTCTCTCCCATCTCCCATCTTTCTGTACACTTAAGTACACAGTATACAGTCAGTAGTTTACCTGCTGGTATTGTGTAGCCCACTTGGGTCTTTTATTAGGAGTTTCAGTGCATCTTTGAGTAGTTAGGACTTCGGGGTTCCCATTGTAGCATTTCAGATTATGATTGGGCTTGTCTTTTTAAGTAGGTGAGAATTAGTGACAGTTTAAATAACGTTTAGGAAGACTTTCACTGTTCTATATTCTTTAAGCCACTGTTTTCTAAATTTTTTTTAGTCGTATTTTTCCTTTTTATTTTATGGTCGGGCAACCTTGAGTCAAATGTTCAGGCCTGTGTTCTCTTGCCTTCAGTGTAATTTAAGCATACACCCTGATACTTCCCTCCTGCTAGTGCTGCTTAGGTGGTCGGGGTGTGCCCATTTCAGTTGCTGATTGTTTGTCTACTGTTACACCATAAACACATTTAAAAACATCAGGAAGATGGGGGAATGGGGAAGACACTCTTTTTAAGAAAAAATAAATATGATACTCATGCAAGCATTTTGGACTTCTGGGTTCTCCTGCAGGTCATGAAAATACCGTCCCTCCAATAGGTTTTCGGAATATAGGCTTTGGGATGGGGGATTGTTACCCATCCTCACCTTCTGTATAAGCAGCAGTGGTGCTTATTCTGAATAACCCAGTTGGGAGGGTCTGCGCTAATTACAGTGAGCTCCTCCTCTTTCCTGGGAGACCTCTTGTGGGGAAAAGTGGTCATGTGTCTTCGCGGAGATAAGATCTTCCTGCCAGGTTAGATACTGCACTGGAGGGATAGCTCCAGGGTTTAGCCCTCACTCTGAGGCTTCAGTAGCCATAAGCCATATTGCAGGAGTGCAAATCTGATTCAAGTAATTGGGCATATATCCTTTCTAAAGGCACAAGCGCTAGCTGGCAGATTTTTTTTGTGAAACTGCTTTATTTTATTGTTATTTAGGGCTCTTCTTTGAGGCAGAACCTCTTCCAGGGTTGCAAAAAGCTTCTCATAAGTTGAAAATTGAGTTCAAGACAATTTGAAACCATTTCACCAGTTTTCTCTTCTCTTTCCAGGCAAGGCATATGTGGAGAGTTCAGTGGCAGAATATTTAAGGTATGTGGGCAATCTGTGGCAAGTCCATCTAAGAAGGTGTGACCAGCTACAAGAATCAGCTGACCTTGAGTACGGAGACTCAGAAGTGCCAGCAAGACCAGAAAAGGAACTGACTGGAAGAATATTGCTATACATAGAAGAAGTGGTTCACATACTTCTGCAACAATCATTGACTTAGAATAAATACATCAGTAAAAACATCAGCAGTGAAATGACAGATTCTGGTGCTCTTTGATTTTCTGGTGGATTTTATTACTTGGACATTGCTATTGACATTTTTACTATCCCAGTTAATAAATCTTGAATCTCTCTGTACATAAAAATATAACTGGACAATTGCATTTTGATACTTTAAGTTTTTAATGTTAGATAATTTGCCAAGATGAGTGCCGAAGGATATCAATACAGAGCTTTATATGACTACAGAAAAGAGCGAGAAGAAGACATTGACTTGCACTTAGGAGATATATTAACTGTGAATAAAGGTACCTTACTAGCACTTGGATTCAGTGAAGGGGAAGAAGCAAAGCCTGAGGAAATTGGCTGGTTGAATGGCTTTAATGAAACCACAGGGGAGAGGGGGGATTTCCCAGGAACTTACGTAGAGTACATTGGAAGAAAAAAAATATCCCCCCCAACTCCGAAGCCTCGTCCTCCTCGACCCCTTCCTGTAGCACCAAGTCCTGCAAAAGTTGAAGCCGAAAGTGAGCAACAAGGTCAGTACTGTTCTCAGAAGGTGTGTGTTCGTGTCCCCATGTTTTTCAAACATTTTTGTTTCATGCACTTGTCTGACTTTACATTTTTGTGTTTGACACCTGCTGGTCAGCTTTTTTAATGCATGGCTCATCAGTCAATTAAGAATTGTTTCTACTTCATACTAATTATCTCACACACATTGTAATTTAATGTGCTTTGTCTCAGGCACCACAGAGATCGTACATCTCACAGGTTGGAAAGTATGCTTATAATTCACAACTGTAAAGACTTAAATGGAGAATAAGCATTTATTTTAGGTTTCTGAGAAGCTGATGGAAGCATTTCCTTCTGTGGTTCATCAAACTCACTATTGAGACACTTCTTGGTGAATCTGACAGTATGAATGTTCCTATCATAAACCTCTTGCTAATAACAAAAAATATGCCCTTTGTTATGGAGGTTAAGTTGTGGCATTTAAAGGTAAGACCGGGTATTTAAAAATGAACAATGGAATCGCGATAAAGAGAAAATCAGACTGATAAAGAGAAAATCAGATTCAAAATTTTTGGACAGTAGGGCATGCAGTAGAAAAAACAAAGATATTTCCTTTGTTTAAACATATATTGCTTTCTAATCCTCAGAATTTGATAGAACTCTTCTGTTAATAGAAGAGTCTTCCCTGGGAGAAGCATTTCTAGGTTGATGAGGGCTTGATAAAAAGTTAAATCTGAACTGGCATATGAAGCAGTGTCTTTAAGCATGCAAGAATTGCCTGTAAGTGTCTAATGTCTGGGTGTACACTGATGATAGAATGAAGGTGGAGGCAGATGGGGATGTAGGTTTACTGTCCGTCCCTGCTTCTTAAGTCCTCAGCCTCTAGTCTTAAGTCTCATGGTTTCACATTAGATTAATTCTGAAAATGGGTTATTTGCTTTTTAAAGGAAACACTGTTACTTCTTTGATCATTCCTTGTATATTAGTATGTTCCATTAAGTAACATTGACTTTTTTTCTTAAACCAGAGATGTTTGCCTCCATTGTATGTAACTGCAGAATAAATGTGGCTATTTGGATAGACACCTCAATGCTGCTTTGCGAGGCAGATGGTGAAAGAAAATGGTGTTCTTTACATGAGCATGCTGTGGTGAAGTAACCAGCATCCCAGGCTTTGATGCTTTTACTGCTTCAAATGTAAAAGTAGTGTTTTGTAACTTGCTTGGGCTCTGTACTCGTACTTGCTTGATACTCCACAGCTCCACACTGTGAGCTGGCCACAGCACTGTGCTGGGAAATCCTGGTGTTAATCTTGAAGTTTTCAAGCGTGCCCCAGAGCTGTGTTTGTAACCAACATTTATGTGAGTTTCAGCTGCTGGGAGTTACTCTGGGAAATTCTGCTACAGATCTGGGGAGCCTTGCTTACATGTAGACGTTTCTACTTCTCTGGGATGAGACAGTGCCCCCAGTCCTTAGTGACTAGATCTCTCCTAAACTGAAATTGCCTCTAGGCAGAGTACTGTTTATATACAACATGTTTATTTTTAATAGTTTGGGACTGTGGGGATTTGAAACAAGAAAATGTGTTAATTCAACTGGCAATCGAAGTCTACACACATGATCATACCATGCTCTGAAATGTTTAAGAATCAGCTTACAATCCAGCCTTGGTTTTTTTTTTTTCTGACAAAAAAAAAAAAAAAAATTAGCTAAGTTCATATAACTCCTTTTGAATTAAAGATTTTAAGGTTCATGTAAAAGGATAGGCACTGTCAGTAATACCCTAGGATTAGAGCCCCCTCAACTGGATTGGAGGAAATATTGACATTGGAACTCCAAATAGTTCAAGAGTTAGGTTTAATTACTTTTAAAGTAATGTATGTTTACTTAAAACATACATAACTGGTCTCTTTACATATCTTTTTACTTTACAGTAAAAAGGCAGAGAGTGCTCTAAAACTTAGAAGCAAATTTGGGAAATATTGCACCAAAAGAGCATTATAAAAAACAAAGGTGATACTTGTAAGTAAGCAGAATGATACAGAATGATACCTAGGGTGAAAAGAGAGGTGCAACTGGAAATACATTTTGGACAAAGAATAATGTAGCAATGTACGTTTCACTTTCAAGATGGCTTCATTATATTTGTATATAAGATTTGGTGCAGGGAATAGGACAGTTAATATTGTCCAGCAGCCAACATAATGGGCAGTGGGCCAGAAGATTCTTCCCAGGATGACACTTCTCTCTACACCCCTAGAGTATATTTCAAATAAATTAATGCCTAGTATGAAACTTGCATGACCAAATGCAGTCAAGTTTACATTTTCAGTACTTCATGATTTGAAACTGCTGTAAATCAAAATGACAAATTAATGGCTAACTGGAAGCAGACTTCTTAAATGTACCTCAGTTATTTGTAATCCATTTAGTTCTTCATTCTGTGAAGAGTCAATTCTGAATGTACCCCTGTTGTGTGTATGTTGAATGAGAATATCAGAAACTTAATTTGAGATTCTATGAATTCTTTTAATTTAATCAATACATAGATTTATTTATAAGAAAATACTTGGGAACCATTGCAATACTTTTTAATACTGAATGATTTCTTCTGAATGCATTTTTTTTTTGCCTGGCTTTGATAAGCTTCAGCACTTGCTCATCAATGTCCAGATTGTTTTGTATTAGATCAAATTTGAAATGTTTAGGCACAGTGTTGCCAGTATTCATAATGCTGCAGTACTCATATGCAATTAATCATAGGCATCTGAACAGGCTTTGCAGTCAATGAGGCTAGTAACATGGGCAGGATTGCTCATCAGGCCGTTATCGTATGCAATCACACTCTTACTTACAAATAGGTAGCTCTTTACATGTTAAAAGCAGATTTGAGACAGAATAAAACTGCCAGTGGTTTCAAGTTCTAGTAAAACCTTTATTTATTTGTTACAACACTTAGGTGAGATTTTTCCCCAGATTTTTAACATGACCCATTCAAATTTCCAGAGCTATCAGTCAAGATCAGTACTGGAGTTCCTTGACTAAAATTTTAAGACTGTTGCTTTTTGCTTGTCTTACCCTTACCCATGTCGATACAGAACTAGATTTAGTCTGAATTTGTGTTGGGGGGGGGGGGGGGGGGGGGGGTGTGAATTTTTTTTTTTTGTGGTCTGTTTTTTTGTGTGTTTTGTTTTTTGTTTTTGTTTTTAATTGTATTTAATCTGAGAAGATACAAAAGGAAATGGGATACAAGTGCCCCGGGAATTCTAGTGCCCGAGGAAGCAGTTTCAGGCCTGGCACACGTCAAAGCTATGGCAAGGCAGATTTAATTCCTCTTGCTGGTGTGAAGCTCTCACTGGCCCAACCTATCTTTTCCCCAGTTTTCTTCTCCCACCAGGCAAGGGTGACTGACTGCTGCTAGAAGGGTCAAGGCACTTGCAAGAGTGGAGACCCAGAATTGGGTAATCTTTATGCCCTTCACTAAACATAAGTTTGTGTGAACCAGTAAAGATCTTGTTTTTTTTCCTTGAAATGCTATTTTTAAATTAGAGCTACATAGAGCTTGTTCCTCTCATTTATCCCCGTCTCAACCAGTTCTTTGAAAATGAAAAGTGCGTAAGCTGTACTGAGTCCAGCTGAGTTTTGTGCACTTTAATTCAGCTGATCTGATACAGCTGCATATATTCAGAGTTGGTTCATATGGTATTCTTTCTCTACATAGTTTGTGAAAGCTGATCTTAAGCAGACTTTAGAGCATAAAGCTTTGCTTGATCAACAGAAACACTTTCAGATTTAACTTGGAATGCTAAATTCCCACTTGGAAATGAAGGACAGACTGCAGAAGGGCAGACCAGATCTTTATATGAATAATTTGTGTGTTTTGATGTTTTGGAGCTTCCTGCAACTTCCTGTGTAACTTGAAAGGGTTGTGTATGTGGAACTTTGTGCCATTTTTCTGGTTTAAAGCCTGAAAATAGTCCAAAGCTCTTCCTTGTTGTGATCAAACTGTAACATAGATTCTCTTAAAAACGAACAAGCAAGCAAAAAATCCTGGAAGACCTTTCCTTAGACTTTCTTCTAGAACAGATTCAGATCAGCAGATGAGACAAAGATAATGACACAAAACATTTGGAAACTCTTCCTTTCAGGGACCAGGTTATGCAATGTTTGACAAAGATCCAAACTGACAGCATAAAACTGTTTGTGCATGTTTGAACTGAATATGGAGTAGGATTTGTTTCTTTAATTTTGCTATAAAGCCAGTACAGTGATTGCATTTCTGAAAATTACTTACACTTGTAAATTAGGGGACATAAGACTGAGTGGAATGCAGTGAGCCTGGAGCCTCCGTTGAGAAGAAAACAGTCATCATCTCTCCCGATTTAGGCAAATGGAAAAAGGAAATTATGGGGTGAAGCAATGAGTCACTATCTCATTTGGTAAATGTATGTGCCATTCAAGCCAGAACCCTTGGATTAATTGTAAAAACCCCAGGTTGAACATAAGCCTTTGTCCTGCTGCAGTTGAGAAGTTCATGACTACAGGGCAGTTATGACAAGTGGGTTGCTTCTGACTTTAACGAAAAAATGGGTTAGGCTCCTGCCAGAGAGCCTTGCCAGCTGCTTGTGGCTATGTTACTTGCTGTACCGGTCAAATTTCTAGCTGCCAGATGAAAACTAAAGTTCTTGCCACTTGCTTTATAACTGTTGAAAACAAAGATATTTTCAAGATGCAGTAAAGTGAGCCAGAGCGTTTTTTTTTCACAGTGGTAAAATCAGGATGGTAGTTACTGAAAAAGCCTTTGTATGCACCACAGAGAGCACAGGGATATGCTTGCAAGTACTAGTACGAATTGCACATTTACAGCGGACCTGGGCAAGTTCATGGTTGATGTGTGGCCCCACCTGCTGGTGGAAGAGGAGGAAGGAAGCATGAGGGAGGAAGGAACTTCAAACCTAGCAGCTTCCAGGTTGTGTTTTAATCGTCGCCGAAGAATAAAAGAGAGGACTTCTTTAAAAAAATATTTT